GTACTCCCCATCACGAGATCATTACATCTGGCCACCACACCACAGCAACACTCACACAAGAAAGGGGAGACTACACAAACATTCTTTCCAATGGGTGGAAAGAACGCTAGCATTATATAACTACAAAATAAGCATATTCAACAAACAACTACAAGTATAAAAACTCTACGGTAGTGTTGGCATTTGGCATTGTCGTGATTATTGATTGATTCATTCAATCGTGCTAATCCTTCTCCGAATGTCCACTAAATTTTCGTCGAAACGCACACATGTCAGTCGACAAATTCGACTTCGTGACACGATCTGACGACTCACTCAACGTTCCGAGTAATCATTTTTTCTTTCATACCACTATCATCTACCCGGTATATCATATTAAAATATTCATAATATCAGAACCCGATACGATCAGACAATATACTGTACCTACTGCACCTACTGCACCTACTGCACCTACTGTAGTATCGACCAATACAGATCAGATTAAACTGAACGTAACCCAAAAGAAAATCCATCAGCAGCAATAGTGACAATGTCCTCACCAGCTTACAATGATGATGGCGACGCCGAAGCTCCCAGTGCTTCTCCAAGAGGCACAGGCGGCGACGATGACAATCACACTGTCACTAAGGAAGAATCCTCCAAAAAAGGTGCAGTTTTGATCATTTTGGCCGTCTTTGCCTTTTTGCTTGGCGGTGGAATCGTGGCAGGTGTTTGGTGGATCATGGAATCCCAAAAGGATGATTCTCCCACACCCGCGACAGTTGCGAACAATGATCCAGCATCCACGCCCTCTGCCCCTACCGCTTCGCCGGTCCCAAATCCCACCCTGCAGTTCACTTCCAAACCTACCAGCCGACCAGGATCACCCACAGCACGTCCTACTCCTACCGAGTCACCTACTCGTTTTCAGCCAGTCAGCATGGAAGATCGATTGGCGAATGAGCATGACCCACTGGTGCAGAATGCATTTGAGTGGTTGACAGCTGTCGATAATTATCAACCTGCCGACTATGCTGAATTCGAGGAGCGTTATGCATTGGCAAGCCTGTTCTTCCAAACCGGCGGTAATAGATTGTGGCGATTCAACACTGGGTGGTTGACTTCGGCAACTGCCTGTGGATGGTACGGAGTTACCTGTGACAGTGCCGGGAAGGTGGCAGGAATCGAAATGAATGACAATTCTCTTGTGGGTACCATGCCAAGCGAATTGGGCATCTTGTCTGCAATGACATCCATTACCATTTTGGGTTCCTTTGAACTGACAGGAAGTTTTCCCACTCAATTCTCTCGATTGACCAACCTGAAACGCATCACCATGAGTAAGTTTTACTACCACCTTTGTGAAGAGGGGTGGTTGGAATTTCAGAAGCCACCCAGCACTTTCTATTCTGAATGAATGATTAATCGTATGACACCGAATGATGCCAGCCACAAGCCCATCCTCCTCACATATCCATATCCATTTTTACTTCACAGGAAGCAACTACCTATCCGGTACCATTCCTACCCAGATCTCTTCTCTTCGGCAGTTGACCACACTTGACTTCGAAGATAATATTCTCAGTGGAAGCCTTCCGACGCAGATTTCACTTTTGACCAATCTGCAGCAGCTGTCAGCTGGCGGAAATGAATTGAAGGGGTCTTTTCCTCCTGGTCTAGTGAATTTGACCAATCTTCGAACCTTGGAGTTGGATCGGAATCAAATTGGCGGAACGGTTCCAGATTTGTCGGGCCTAAGATTCTTGGAAAAGCTGGACTTGAAGACCAACAAATTTACTGGAATTGTGCCAAATCTACCAAATTCGCTTCAGCTTTGTGACTTGGGTAAGTTGTTCTTGGCTGTACAATGCTGAATGATATCTTGCACAGGTTTGGAATGATGAAGGTGTTCTAACGACTGCTTTGATTTGTTTGTTCTCACTTCGCGTATTGCTTCGTATACATCCACCACCACAGACTGGAACAGTTGGAGCAACACGGAAAACGGCCTTTCTAACGGGTGCTTCTAGATTGTAGATTACGAGGAATAGATGAATAAATGTTAAACAACATACAAGAGAACTATATATATATAAGGATGCGAAAGCACTGGAACTGTGCTGCTTCTGTGCTGCTTCTGAGGGTTCAAATATTTATGTCAAACATGCATTTTTCGTCCATTCATCACATGGCATGCACCCCATAACAAATAATAAGAAAGATGCAATTGTTTCTTCTAGAGCTATCTATATTGTAGTTATCTGTGATGTGTTACATTGTGTTATAATATTACGAATCTAAGGCTGTCACATAAAAGAGGCCAATGGTATGAAAAAGGCAGCCGACAAATCACAAACCGATATGTCTTTCTTGAACAGAAAAGGATATATATGAGTTCATCAGATCATGGCAGTCAAAGAAAGTCGCAAGACCTAGTGCTGCCTTCTGTTGTCTGGGTTTGGAATGGTATCCTTCGTAGTACGATGGAAATCATTTCTGCTTGTAGTTTCTTGAAAGTCGTCCAAGAAGCCGTCTTCCAAAATATCCAAGACCTCGTCTAGAATGCCAATGATTCTATCCTTTTCCAAGCAGGATCTCGTACTGTCGCTCTTATTTTCAGCAGAGGAGTCTGCCAATAAGACCACACTATCGGATGAGAGCATTCTGCTGGCATTGAGCTCAAGCAGGGATTGGGGAATGGTAGATCGATTCGATTGTTGATTCTTCATCTTGATAATTTTGTG